TGGGCGACTAGGTCTGCTTTCTTTTCCTACCTAGAAGACTTTTAGAACTATGCGTATACGATTCATTCGATCTCTCGCGGAGAAACAGTCAGACATGGCTCTCATTTCCATCCATATGCGTGTGCTGACACGAAGTCATGTCTTTACCCCTGCATTGGTGGATGTAGCGATCAAATGGAAAGAGCCGTGCCACATCCCGCAGATCTCCCCGCATTCTCCACGTTGTCCCGCGCAGCGGTTTCCCGCCACTAGCGGGTTTGCTTTGACGGGACTGGCGGACATTGTTTCTCGCCCACTCGTTACTGGCGGAATTCGGGATTGAAAATGGTTTACATAACACTGCTCCTGGAACCATTTTTTCTTTCCTTAGATGGTGGAAATAGAAATTTCTGCTCATGCGTTTGTCGGAGAGCTTCTTTGTGAATAGCATCCAGTTTTGCGACTCGAGAGGAGGTACCGCTGGAACTCAAGGGTCTCTCCACTAGGGGTTCTGCAGCACCATCCGAAACTAACAACTTTCGACCTGCAAACGAAAAACAAAAAACCCAAAACTCGCTTCGAGGACCAATATCCGATCAACTTCTTTCGTTTCAAATCAGCGACACATGACTTCAACGCTGTTGTCGGCTGAAGTTTGAGCTAACTATGCAGATCCTGGAGGTCAAACGGCGGCTGCAGTACACATGTTCACCAAGAGGTTTGCAACAATCATGTGTGACAGGGGAGCTGTACCGAAAAGAGACTGGCTGAGGTTTGTTACCATATGACAGAGTGTGGAACGAAACAAAGAAGCAAAGAACTACGCTCAAAAATGGAGAGAGTTTTGAGGCCCGAGAATATTCGTACGTGCAGAAAGTTCGTCAGTCGTTTACGACGAAGTATCAAGGAAGGAAAGAATAAGAACGCAAGCCAACATTGATAAGTGCCAGCGATGGGCTAGTTTGGTTGGATAGATTCCTTCAGCATGAAGTTGAAAGATATCTAGCTGCACAACCTAATGTCTCTGGCTTCAGGAACAGTTGAGGACATCGTTGAGCAGAGTAAGATGAAGACTGAGCCATATTCCTTCCGCCAGGTTAGTTTAACTTTCTGTTGGTATCTGAAGATTGGTTGACTGATGTGTGCATTAGGCAGGTCAGCTCCTTACTCAGCGATCTATCCGACCAACCTTGTTTATCAACACACGATTCACGAAACGGGCGACGGGATGGCATAGGAACAATTTACGGCCTCAATCCTTTTCTCCACCAATATTCTTTCGCCGACAGAGTTTGGAATGCAATCGTAAGAGGCAGTGGCACGGAGCCGCCAGACTTTGGACCATGAGCGCTTTCACATGGAACGTCGACCCAGAGAAACGCAGATCAAGCGCGTGGCTATATGCAAAGGAGCAGGACACATTTCGTGATAGGCGTATCGACCGGTGGATGCTTCCAGACATCCGTCGCTTTCAAAGGAGGCAGGCAAATACGGCGGCTTCCCAGTGGCTTCTTCGCGTGGCAAGTATGACAACTAGGTTGCGGGAGCTCCCGTCTGGGGAAGACTCAGAAGGAAATCGGCCCTTCGGAAACGACGGAGACTTCCCAATCAGTGTCTTTAGCCCAAATAAGGCGAGACATCGAAACACTCCGCCAAAAATGGATCCTCTTCGCGTCGAGGTTCAGCTCTCTACTGCACACAAACTCCCGATAAAGTGTTGACAGGCAGGAACGATCGGCGGACATTTCGGACAACCAGGATGATTTCAGGGCTCGGAGCAAACATCCTACTACCGAGATGAAGGCAGGCTTTGAAAAAGGCCCCCTCATTCCGACTATGCCGCGGTGGACTGAGGTTGCGAGCGGGGTTGATTGGACGAGAAACACGACCAAGTTTGGAAGTGTTGCACTCACTGAGACCATTTCCATCAACATGAACGAACGAACCACGGGTCCTCGAGCCGGAGAGTTATGCAGGCGCGGTATTGTAGGCATGGAGAGAGTCGCATTGAACCGAATTGTTCCCCTTTCAGGTTCAGGAGGATGGGGAAATTGAAGAGCAAGAACGAAACCAGGAGACCTCAAAAAGGTGGCCAGAAAATCATCGGCTCGTCGCTCCGCAATCCCACGAACGGCCCACTATCAAGCCAGCTTAATTGAGTTAGTCTGGAAATTAGGCAGGCCCAGACGGACGTTTGTGATGCGGAGAAGCCCCATATATGCGGGGCTTTCATCCTAGCCGAACCACTGAGGGTCTGGGAAATCATTGTGGGAAAGCGGGGAAGGTGCGCCTTCCTGGCCCAGTAGCTGCAGGTGTGGCTCGGGGGAAGGAGGCACTTGGAAGGAAGCAGGTGGCAGGTGACTTGCCGTTTTTTGATTTGATCGCCTCATGCCGAACATCGACGTTCCCTTTCGCGCAGCTTCCTGTCAGATCAGGCGAGAGAACGACATCATCGGATGAGAGAGCTCGCGACAAGGTACTGGACATCAAATATCGACTGCGGTCCACATAGACTTCGGGTTCTACAGACGGAGAGCCGACACCCAAGACCCAACAATGAGATACTCAACAGCTTGCTCGGCGTGTCGGTAAGTCAATCTGCGAATCTATGCCCTTTGAGCTTTGCTGGCGTCTCCGCCGACCCCTTCGTTCATCGACTTTGAGGCGCATCAGTGGCATCACTACTGACAGCATGACAGCGCACGGCGGAGGAAATGCGAGGTTCCTATCGGTGGCGGCCAGTGCACTTACTGTGCAGCCCAGAACATTGCCTGCTCGAGGGCTGGCACCATAATTCAGCCCAAGGCGGCTCCCATCAGTCCCATATCTATCGCAACACCAAAGACGCCGACAGTCACTGAGATCATCCTTGCCAGTCCGCCTGGCATCACTCCTTCAGCTGCTGTTGCAGACAAGGCGCTCTGCTTCGAGCTTGTAGAGTTGTACTTCAAGTATATCCACGATCAGCTTCACTCCCTTTTCCACAGGCCCAGCTTCATGCTGGATCTACACGAGGGAACTGCCCCTCTGGTACTTGTCTACGGAATGATGGCACTATCAGCGCGATTCTCGTCGAATTCCATATTCAACGGGATATCCCCCATGTCGCGGGGCGAGCTTTTTGCCAATGAGGGAAATCTACTACTCAACTTGCGTGACGTTTCACTTACCACGGCACAAGCATGCGTCTTGCTGGGCGCGTACTCCATCGTAGAGGGCGAAGCTGGGGCAGAAACCATCTTCTATTCGGCGGCTTGCAGGATAGCCAACTATCTCGATCTACCCAACCTGCCAACCCCAGATCCGCTCCAGAGAGAAATCCACATCAGAGGTAGAAAATCCGCCCTATGAACTATGCTACGGTACTGATACTGACCGTCTGAAGTGTATTGGTCTCTTTGTATGATCGACGTGTGGTCATCCACTGGTGTCAATCTGCCACGCCTCATGGACCGTCGAATGGATGTCCCGTTGCCCATGAACGAGTCAACTTTTCTCAACATGACCCGGGCAAACAACAACCACTTCGACTTCATTCTCTCACCAAATCGTGAAGACTCACTGATCGCGCAAATGATCAAGCTGAACAGTATTCTGATGAGAGTTAATGACGCCATCAAGAGTCTCACATCTGATGTTGACGTGACCAACATCGACGAGACTGTCTCTCAACTGTCGCAAGAGCTCGAAGCTTGGGAGGTGGCCCTACCCCACAATCTCCGCGATACCCCAAGTAACCTCCATGCCTTCGCCTCTCAAGGCCTTGGGCGAATCTTCATTGCCGTGCACACTGGCCACTACCACTACAGTCAGCTACTGTACTACCAGTACCTAGACGAAGTTCAGCGCTTCCCAGCTTCACCAACAGCACAGATGTTTGCGCGCAAATGCAAAGAGAACGCTATCTCCATGTCACGTATCATCGATCTCGCAAACACAACACCTGGCTGTGACGCCAAATTCAACATGCTCGGACACATTATTGTCATCACGTCTTCAATCTTTATCCACACTCTGCTGTTCGAGACGGACGAAGCTGAGATTGCAAATGCCCGTGCTACGCTAGAGCGTCATTTCAATACCCTCGTCGCTCTGCGGGCGTACTGGCCAGCACTGGAGGTATGCTTCGCACGGCTAAAGACGTTCCATGAGCTATGCCGCAAGAGCATGAACACCAGCTACCGCATGGATCGGTGGATGTTACGGTTCTTAACCGAGTTTGCGCGACCAATCGACGAGAAGGAGCGTGACGAAGATGGCCACATGGACTTAGATCGCTGGAGTGTGGGTAACATCGGAATCAGTCCCGAGAACTGGGCATAGCAGTGCAAGGACTCGGACGCATAAGCTTCACAGCACGTGCTTATCGGCTGGGCATCCGGGGGCATGTCGAAACGAAGCAAATGCATCAACGAATCCAGAAAGCCCACCTCCAAGTCGCAGCGGTTGAGCGGCAATGCGTTGTAACAACCTATCGGCAGGTTGACGCTGAAGGGCACTGACTAATAATGCCTGCTCGGCTGGTGCTCGGCTGGGGTATGAGCCGAAGTCACATCGCCAGACACGTCAATCTTGCAGAGAGCGCATACAGAAAACGTCTGAACCTTAGCCAATCCGGTCCTGTCCAATGCCAACAGCCAAAAGCCAAGTTGAGCCAGATGTCTGGTTAAGGGGGCGGGAGGGCCCGTCTTGTGCCTCGATCAAAAAGTATCCAATCACAAGTTTGCCTAAACGACGAGTCAAGGAGTCCAAATGGTGTTGAGTAGGGTCTTGTGATGATCCAATATGCAAGGTTTAACGGAAAGTAATGTGGGATGATTTGTGTCATCCAAAGGGTGAATAATACGCTATGAAACTTGGGTGTTGTTTTCTCGGAAGAACATGCCGTAGGGCACACCATGGGGGGTACACGTGGGATCTAACACATATTCTAAAGTTCTACAGTGGCAAGCAGATCGTCGGGAAACGAAAAACCTTGAGTTTGCTGTAAAGAGATGTGTTACTTGAACCCGAAAATGTTTACTTCCATGCGAGGAATACTCGTCACGCCATCGACTCGGAATCTAAGTCGAGTTTTCGAGTCGAGGGCTGCCGGTGGGCTTCTCAATCCATCCTGATCCTCAACTTCTGACTGCGACCATTTCACTTGACCTCTTCTGGTGCAAGCCGATCACCAGTCTCTTCCTCATCAACGACCTTACCCGGGTTGATCTGTACCTCGGACCTCGGATAGTCCCCAAAGTGCCTCACCGGCACGCCATCGTGGAATATGCGATCAATCTCCTCGAGGCTCCTCCCCTTACACTCTGGCACGCAGAAGAAGACAAACAATGCCGAGAAGACGGCGATGCTGCCAAAGATGAAGCCGACTTTGCTTTGTAGCGCGGCGTAGGGCGCGTTGAGGAGGTAGGGTAGGGTGAAGTTGACGAGGAAGTTCATGAAGATGTTGACGAGGGAGGAGACGCGCTGGGAGCGATCGCGGAGGCGGAGGGCTGGGACTTCGGTTACGACTACGTAGGTTAGGGGGCCCCATCCGAGACCGAAGCCGGCGCCGACTGTGGTGAGGATCAGTTTACTGTACAGGTACTCATCGTCGGTGTTGGAGTTGGATTGTTCTTACATAGGAGGAGCATGCCGACCATGCCTGACTTATTGGCGTTGGGGACGGGCCTTGGTACGCCGAGGCCAGCCATTGTGTATAGTGCAACTGTCTGAACCGCAGCACCAACAAGTAGGATTTTGCTTGGGAGAATGTCAGTATCCCATCAAGCATCGATGGAAAGAAAGCTCTCGTACCGTCGTCCAATCCGATCCGTCAAGAATAAACATGTAATAATCAATCCAGTCGTCAGCGCCGACGACCCCAGCGTGACATCGAACGGGTTCAGCGTGCCGAGTGACTTGACCCAGACAGCGCCATACTGCGATGCGAAAGCCTGGCCAGTCGCCTGCTGGAAGAAGGACATGCCGACGGCGATGGCGGTGCGCTTCCGGTTCACGCCTTGGAAGAGCTCCTTTGTTCGGCCCTGCTCGGGCTCATCGAGGAGGGATTGTTGGATCTTAGAGAATTCGTGGGCAATGTCATCGTCGGACATGGTCCCTTCGCGGAGGAGGTGGTGGGCTTTTCTCGCTTCCTCTACGCGGTCTCGAAGGAGGAGCCAGCGGGGAGACTATTGGAGGGGGTACAAGAGTCAGCTTATCAATGTTGAATGATGAGAATCGTGAGGCATGTTCACCTCTGGTATGAACCAGACCAAGGCTAGCACGATTGATGGGATAACGTAGAAGAGACCGAAGGGAATCTTATAGGCACGGCTGTCTTGGAAACCTGATGTTCCGCGGCAGATGGAGTTAATGACGAGGCCACCGAGCTATACTCCGGGGATCAGCAAGTATTAAACAGAATAGTGGTTCGTATCATGAAGGTGTGCGTACGCCAATGGAGAGTTGATATGTTCCAACGACCATTCCTCGAACCGGAGCCGGGACGATTTCTGACTGGTATACGGGGACCACAGCCAGTTCGAATCCAACGTAGACATCTGGAACCTGTCAATGATTGCTCCGTGTCTAATTTGTTTGTTCGAGTAGGTTTTCTCATACAGTTTAGGATTCTGCCTACGAGAATTTGTTCCTTAGTCGTGGATGTGACTACAACCGTGGCACTAATAAGGGCGTAGACGCTCATCACGATCATAGTCGTGCGACGACCGAAGCGTGCGCTGGTCAGACTTCCAATTACGAGGCCTGAAGTACCGTGTTAGTAGCCAACATCATCATCATCACCGACTTGCCCTTGCAGCACCTGAACGTCAAGGTTCCACGGATATGAACGTACCAGCAGCGAAGCCAATGTAATTCAGACTATTCAGCAACGACAAAAAGTACGTCGGAATTTTCCATTGCCTTGTCGCGTCGTCGTACTCGCCAAATTGCCTCTCAAAGGCATCCATGGCCTGCGTCGAGGTGAAGGCCTGGTTGTCGAAGCCATAGTTGAACTGCGATACGGCGATCAGGAACACAGAGGCAAAGAGCCTCTTGTTGAAGTGCTGTGTTACCGATTTGATACCCATCATAGCTAATGATCACCGAGGATGAGCTCGAACTGGTCCACGGAGCCAAGGCCGGTCATAGTGGTTTCGGGGTGTGGGCGAGAGTTAAGTTATATCGCGTTTATACATTCGAGCCTTTGCTACACTAACAAGCATCTGTGGTATGTCGCCATGTCACGACGCTGACAGTGAACCGAAGACAGGGACGTGGGATTCGCGACTAGTCGTCCTGGTGGAGACTTTGGAAGCATGGAAAGTCTGGAGAAAGTGAGCTGCAAACCGCTTGCAGATGGTTCGTGACAGCGGATCTCGGCGGATGGAGTGTTGTTAGGGGGTCAGATGCTCCCCAAGGTGGTGCAAGCGAGATCCGGCGAGATGCGATGGAGACCCACTTGTTCTTCGAAACATCATCTTGGCCCCGTCTTGCGTGCTTGGGCTGGACAGCTTGAGTCTAGTTCTTAAATTCGGGAAAGTTGAGTTGTTCCGGGTATGTTTCTCCGTCGTTGGATATGTCTTACATCTAGGTCTATTCTGGACTGTACATGTATCATTCAACTTTTAACTCAGTCCGCTGTTTCCATGTCTGCGCGTCCTTAGATGCTGGCAGGGTCTGGATCCATATAGCCCGATAGGAACCAGCTTAGCTCACCGCTCATGTCGAACTGCGAAGGAGCTACGAAGTAATCTGGTGCCAGCTGATTTTCTGCAAAACCGGACCATGTAAGCGGCCCATCCAGACTGGGGCCAATGTCATTGAGACCAGCCGCACTGGCTAGAGAGGCCGGATAGATGTCGACAGAGTCCGTCATCGTCATGTCTGTCGTTTCCGAGGTCTGGAGGATCGAAGGCGCTTGAGGAGGATCGGAGTGCTGTAGCGCGACTTCGTCCGCCGTCTTAGCGTTGCTATCGAAGCTCTGAGATAACGGATGATACCTGCTTAGCAAGTTATTCCGCTGGACTTCGCTGCTGACTGGCGCGAGCTCCTGTGCTTCCGCGTCGTTTTGTCTTCTGTTTTTATCGGCTTCGACCATCTTTTCGACGTCTTGCTGTAGTACCGCAATGATGGGCGCGATCTTAGCCATGTCGTCTAGCAAGGTGATGTTGCTCTGGCACAGAGCCTCCACTGCCTCGTCATTGAGCTCCGCCGTCTCGCCGGTGATCGGATCGACAAGGCCATCATACAGCTTGCACCGTCGCGCCGTGAGGAGAGTCTTGGTACACTGATGCACCATGCTCCCGTACCCCAGACGGAGGGGGATACGCGTCTGCTTTGACTGCAGGGCGCCCTTGGCACGGAGGTTCTGGAGATGTTCCCATAGTCTCGCCTGCCGTAGAGCGTGGGATACCGCAAGTGCGCGCCACTCGGATACAAAGTCTGGCGGGGCGCTCGCGAGAAATTTCGGCGATGCGCTCTCCCTGTACGCGGCTGGGAGCGCGACGCGGAAGAGGTCGCAGGCGCACTGGAGGTACCACGAGTTGAGCGTTAGGTAAGACGAGAACTCTGATGTGGTTGAATGAGAGAACATGTTGAGTTCGCTCAATTGCAGATGTTTGGGTGTGTTTTTGAGGAAGAGTCTCAGTCGGTCTCGTAGATCTTTCATGATTGTTACTGCTTTGGAAACTGCGGTTGGGGAGTGGTTTGAGTGGCTATCTATAACGATTCTCTTTGTTAATCTGTGGGCGTCAGTATCAACTATGTCAATGGAGGAAGGAAAGTCTTCAAAAGCCTACCGCAGTATCTCACAGCGAAGCGGTAAGAGCATTATCAAGTAGGCGTTAGGCCCAGCTTCATGGGATGCAAGTGCCTCCACCCCATCACTAAGCCTGCCGGTCGGCTTCATTAGTCCGTGGCAGAAAGCATGTTCTGAGTTTGGCAACGAAGTCCTCATCCACCGATCTGGTAACGAAGTGAACTCATCCAGACCCGCTGAGAGCATCTTATCCATAGTCCACACATGCCACACCAGGCGCCGCTCACACTCGCGCTTGATGAGCGCGGCGGTGGTATCATTCTCAGACGCCGGTCTCTCGTCGTTGAGCTGAAATGAGACTGCTAACCTTGCGGCCATGCTGATGAGCAGCCACATCTTGCCGAACTGCCTGTAGGCGAAGTTTTGAAACATGGAGAGGATGAGCAGCTGGATGTTGAGCACCTTGAAAACATTGAGGTTGCCGAATATGTAGGCGTCTACTTCTTTGGCCCACTGAACGGATAGGACTCGCGACTCGCGCGAGCGGGAGACGAACATTGCTGCGGTCGCGCATATTGACGTGCAGAGGATGGGTGGTAGCTTCCCGGCATAAAACTCTTCCATTACGGATGGCCGATGGAAGAAATCGTGGCCTATTGGATAGACGTGGTCAAAGTACGCCTCGAGATGCTGACGGATCACGTCTGTACTGAGGAGAGCGTGATCTAGGGCCGTGTTCAGAGACACCCTGCCGACGCCGTACTGCTGGTTCAGTGTAGATTCTGCCTCATAGGAGGCGCTCTGGCTGAAGGTGCTGCTAGATTCTGGAGAAGCAGACTGTTGCTGTTGTCCCCCGACATGTCTGCCCTTACGCCTTGATGCCGATGATGGGTATACGCATGATAGTTTCCTTCGATTGCAATGGAAGCATTGCGGGCGGTGGCCGGAGCACTTGGCCTTTTGAACACGGCACTCCGTACATGCGGCCGCAATTCGCCGTCGTTTGGTCCCGGCTTCCGTCAGATTGTCTGCCGGGGCTGAAAGTCCTTGTGGATTCGGGACTTCTGGTGACAGATTGATCTCCGAATAGTTAAAAGTACAGTCAAGTCGCAGTCGACGACAGTTCTCACATGGCTCAGGGCCCCCAGTGCATTTGACCTGAGGTTTGTCAGTGTGCTTGCCCATCATGCGCGGAGGCGGGGAGCGGGGAGCCTCAATGCGGATGCTTCAATTACCTTTCGGCGCTTACACGTCAGACACCGGGGTCTGGGTATCGGTGTCCGCTCAGGTTCGGCAACCGGACTGGGGCTCGGCATCATGTCTCGGCCTCCTCCGTTTGACAGGGCGTAAATTTGAAGAGAAACCTAACCGCCGCGGGGCTCTCGCATCAAAACTTCGTTGTCGAGACTCAACGGCGGACCGGGATGCGGAACCCGGAAGAGACCGAGGATAATATGCTCCGGAAACCCCAGTTTTCCCACCGAAGTACACTGACGTGCTCAGCATGCGGGGTCGCTCTAAGCCCTTTTGAAAGCAACGCAGCCCACAACGCATAGGATTCAGCGAATCCGAGGGCGTGAGGGGACCCGAAGGGGCAGAGCACACCATTGTGTTGAAGAATTGCGGAAGAGTTGCCCGACGCAATTGGATAGTTATTTCAAGCACCGATGTGTGTGTGAGAGAGAGAGGGAGGGAGAGAACGAGAGACACGATATCGCCTAATAATGCCGTACAGCTATACCCTGTACTTTGTTGATTAGGGCTACACCATCGACTCTACGCTTTCTTGCTATCTTATGCTGTTATTCAAGCATTGTTATATGCTGCAGATTTGCCCACGCTGGAGTCGATTTGAAGTCGTTTGGGAGGTGAAGGAACCTTCCTAGTCAGCATCTCCCGAGCCATTCGCCCGTGTTTGAACCGCGGAATAGCCACCATTGATCAGGTGCGGGTAGAATTAATTGCCTCGAATTGATCTTTGATAATAATATCTCCCCATGGTGGTTTGCAGCAGGAAACCAAAAGCCGAGCTGGCGATACCGGCGCTGGCTCGAACAGCTAGCACAGGATATAATGGTTTCTCTGCATCGACTTCATCTGTAAATCGTAAGACCTGTTTGGTTTGAGACTTGAGTCCAACCACTGCGATGAATTTCACTCGACAATCCCGTTGGAACAGTTTCTTCTTATAAAATCTTTCAGAGTGAGAACTCAAGCTGAGAAGAAGTTGATTCATCTTGATACAAATCCGGGTTGAGATTAAAGAGGAGACGAATCCTATGACCACACTGAGAGGCACTTTGAGACGTGACATGGCAGGAAAGAGCTACTGATGGAAGATTGAGGAATTTTATTGTGACTTCGCAACTTCTTCAGTCCTCATATCACAGTTTTCGCATGTCAACTAGATCTTCTTAAGACCGGTTGTAGAGGGAGTCGGAACTTGTTAATCGAGAGATGGCAGCAAGGTGTGGCAACTAGTTACCTGTAAGACAAAGCCCCAGGTCACTTATTAAGTGGTCCCGCTCTTCTCGCATGCTTTGAGCTGATGAGTTGCCAAGGCCCCGTGCCGGCAGCGGACTGTGCCCGGGTCGGAGCCGACCCGAAGCCTCCGGGTGGAGCTTGCTTCGGGGCATGCAAATTTTGTCATCCCCATCGCACCAATTCCACCAATTTTCCACATTCGAAATCTAATCTCTTCCATCCTCGGCATTCCCATCAACCAGCCAAATTCAGACTTGTCTGCCCGGCTAGCTCAATCGGTAGAGCGTGAGACTCTTAATCTCAAGGTTGTGGGTTCGACCCGTAAGCATATTACGTCCGTCCCAAACAAAATCAACACACAACTAACTTCCACCAGCCACGTCGGGCTCAATTCCCGTCAGCGATTGACGCATATCTTTTTGTCGACTCCAGGTCCTTCGGTATCAATCTTTGTGTTGGAGATTGACCCCATATTTTCCCTTCTTGTTTGAATTTCCTTTTTCTTCTGGATTGAGATCGTGAAATACCTTACCAACTTGTTGGTGGCCATCGCGGTTCTACTTGATATTGTATGGGCGTCATTCTAATGAAGACAAAGATATACTTTGACTCCGTTCTTCGGCAGATCGTCAGAATAAAAAGAGTAAGTTCTCTTGGGGAGTCGACTAATGCATCAACACATCAGAAGGTAGCTCGGTGCGGGCTCCGTTGATTTACCCTACCTAAGATTGATGCTAAGATAGGTTGACTTTCCACAAGCACCCAAGGAACTGGTACATCTTCAGGTTACTTCAGTGTGACGCCAAGAATCAAGCCCTCGAAGGCGTTTAAGGCTTATCAGAAATTTGTTGTACCAACCTGTAGGTATGCTAAGCCAGTGTTGAGAATACCGGGAAAACTCTACCTTCCAACATTTACGGGCACACAACTCGGGTCTTGTGAGCGAAACGCCCGTTGGTCTGTCATTTTAGCCACCTATTGGCCCAGACTACCCATGTGATACTCTCAAACGCCCGCTGAAACGCACCTCAGTCGCCGGATGTAGAGTGGCTATCAGTCTTTGCAACTAAGCAGGGTGCATCTTGAAGATATAAGGAGTGTCCATTCCCTGGGTAGAGAGATCCAAACGAGAGCATTTATCTTTTGAAATTCTCAATGTAGTGTGCTCAAAGTTCCCACAAGCCACTAACAAGATGATGAGCTATTCTGCGGATACGTCATGACCATGGCAACCCTACGCACGGTACGTATACACGACATCGGCAGTTGACGTATTCCGTATTTTGGACCAAGCAGGGATGAAGGTAATTGAACACTCCCCAACTGTACTCGACTAACAGCGATAAAGCTCTTGTTGTACGGAGATCTTCAATTGATATGAAGACATCGACTAGAGTGCTGACTCCTCATCACGATAGTCTAGCTTGAATTTAGATATGGTCATTTCGTCATCGTACTCGTGGGCGTGCAATCGCCGGAATACCCGATATCAACATGTCACTGCGTCTCCCTCCGACTACCCATTGACACCGAAGTCGGAGCTCACGCACGAATTTGACGATAGCAAAGGCCCCAGAAATGGTCTATCAAACTGCCAAATCTGGTGGTAGCGTAAATCCGGTCAGCAGGACTTCCCCAGTTCTGCGTTGCTCAATCCTCGAGCTCTCCCCATGCCTGCCTACGTCAGACCGCTGAACATGGTACTGCAACACGAGTAATTTTGCGCTTCAGATGCACTCTTATGGAAGTCGGAGCTTGTTCTTCGCAACTCGCAAAAGACCGGCTCTTTTGGTTCGCTACCCGATTATCGACCATGCAGGCTTATCAGTGATCCATCTGCCAATATCCCCGCGCGGGAAGTGGGAAGTGGGGGCCATTCTGCAGAGGACCCCGGTCTCTTCGTACGGCAGTTTGTCGTCTTCTTCAACGGTTCGTTGGTAAGCCTGTGCTCGCTCAGACTTCCTTGATGAAGGCAAAGCTAAGCTTATCGATAGACCGGTCTTCAATCCAACCATCTATCTATGGAGTCAATCTGTACCTCATCGGGACTGGAGCCTTTATCCTCAATTCGGATAAAGTATCCTGCCTTGCCTGCCGAACATGATCCTGCTACGGGCACGAGAGATAAGCTCAGAACATCAGTGACATACGGCCGCTGAAGACTCCTCTCAATGATTTTCTATCCTTCGCCACATCAATATTGAGAAGCTGATTTTGAGGCTATTCAAGGCCCCAAGACAGCAATTCGATCCAAACCACGGTAGGAGGACTTGAGTGAAGAACCGGCGAGGTCGAAGTTCGAAATTCCAAACTCCCCCGCACAATGCTCACAGACGTCGGGACAACCCCACCATGAATGTATCCCTGAACCTCCCTCAGAGCTAGGAATCCCTTGCCCATGACTCCGCATGACTGGACTTCGAGATAAGAAATCTCCATTCAGCGACACCGCCGCCATGATGGCGAGTTCGATTATCGATGTGCCATTCAGTCCATCTTTATTGTCCTATCAGATTAATCTCGGATTCGACTGACAAACTTGGACTGGTGTTATCGAGAGCTTTCCCCCAGTCCCAACGCTACGGGCCCGACGCCGTTGGCCCGAATCAACCGACCACGCCGACCTACATCGATCCGCCATCCGAGCCCCGAAGCAATCGCCAAGACACCAAAGGCTGGAGAAAGCAAACAATATCACGCCTTTGTGTTACATACAGCCCCACGCGATGAACGGCATACAGTTCTATCCGTAGGCCGCGGCCTGCGATATCATCGGCCCCCTGCCCTAGCTCGTCCGCAAACCGTCAAGACATGGGCGCCACGTTCTGCAACTCTCGAGTGATTATCTCTCGGGGCTCGCTTATGCAGCTCATCCCCGGCGTGATAGGTCGCTTTCGATATCGCCCAGAAGCCATCGCGGCAACGATAGCTACACAGTGACTACCCTGTCTGGAGAGAGCGAACCCCTCTAGAGCCATTCAATCCTCCGGGACATAGCCGTTCGAACGGGGTCTCCTCGCTCCTGGCTTCCCTTTGCATCTTTAGCGGCGCATTCACATACTGAGACCAGTTTAGCTTGCGGGCTGCAGATTATCCAAATGTAGCTGTCAGTTGATGCTCTAATGGACAACTTCGAGATTACCCATCGATACAACTCTATCACCGGTGTCGGGGTAACGTCAGGTTGAGGATGTCCGAGTCAAGGTACTCAGGTGCAACATCACCAGTAACCCAAGGTTCCACAAGATCTTCAGCTATCTTTCAGCTTTCCATAAAACCTACCGAAATCCGCCACCATTATTGTAATGGATTTGCGAAAGGTCCCTACGCCTTCCTGAATCTCAAAGAGTCCCTCAAGATCTAGGATAACATGGGCTTCACTTCAGCAACTCGTGCCTTTGGCCTGGGAGCACTGCTTCTCCTAGGCTCGGATTTGATTCCTCAAGTTCATGGCCTTCCCAAGACGTCATGGGCTCAACAGAGGGCCAAAGGCCATGGCAGGAAAGCCCTCAGCCAGTCCATGAACAAGCGTCAGTTCAGAAATGACAGCGAGCCAGCTGACTGCGTGGTTCACAATCCGATGGACATTGACGCCCCCAAAGACAATGTTTGGAGTGGTCTGACAGGCCCGGAAGCTGCTGGTGTCACGGAATGGCTCTTCGCACAGAAAGAGTTGAACCTCACTCTGAGTGACAATGCTACCTCATGGGATAACACGATGTAGGTGGACTGATGATAGCTCAACCCACTTCACCTCGATCTTAGTACTGATGAAATAGCGTCTTGGTCGAGCTCATGCAACCAAACAAGTCGGACGCTCTGGCATATATCGACGGCAGCGGCCCTGCTCCAGCCCGATATGCTCACGTCTTGCTTGACTTCCGCGCCACCGAGGAGCCTGAGTATCAAGACATTCTCGTCGGCCCATTGCCGGTCACAAATGGTACCACCAAGTGGGAGCGACTGGACTACCCTTACACGCGTAAGACTAGCGGCCGCGTTCGAAACCTGGATGCCGACGACGACGCTATGCAAGAATGGCTCTACGATGTCAGCAAGAGCATCGCCGACATCACCAAAGACCTCTGGAACGCCACTGCTCTTGGACTCGAGAACGACACCTTGGAGATCTGGGGTATAGATCCCTACTACCAGGATGACGGCCGCATCCAGCGCTGGGATACTTTCTGGAGCATCCCCGACTCCATCTTCGACGTCGGCTCAATGATGCCTATGGGACTGTTCTTCATGTCTGACGTCACCGGCCGCGACCCTTCTAAGTGGATTCTGGAGGGGTGGTACTACAACGGTGTCTTCTACGAGACCACAGAGGAGTTCCGCACTGCGTACTGGGCTGGGAACGTTGAGAAGCTCGGCGGCAACTTTGCTGGAGACTGGTCGGCTACCGATCAGCAAGGTCAGGTTCTTCCTATGGACACCATGGCTCCTCCGACTGCAGTTGCTCCCCAAGGTGCCAGATACTCTGTCGACGCTGAGAGGAAATATATTGAGTGGATGGGCTGGTCATTTTATGTCGGCTTCAACAGAGATACCGGCATGGCTCTCTACGACATTCGTTACAAGGGCCAGAGGATCTTGTACGAACTTGGTCTCCAGGAAGCTTTGGCTCACTACGCCGGTAGGTTACATACTGAAAACCCGTACTAGATGGTTATCTAACGAACCGATAGGAAGCGATCCCACCCAGTCTCACGTGGCATACCTTGACACCTACTACGGTTTTGGCCCATTTGCGTTTGAACTGCTCAAGGGATACGACTGTCCATCATATGCCACCTATCTCAACTCATCGTTCTACGTTTCCGAGTCAACCCACACGCACCTGAACAGCATCTGCCTGTTTGAGTTCGACGCCGACTACCCCATGGCTCGTCACTCGTCTCAGGACTACGTCACAGCCACCAAGAATGTCTACTTCACCATTCGTTCC